CCTGCTTGGGATAACTTTTCAGGTCCAGTGGTCAAAGGTCAATGGGTCACTATAAATAGAAAATCTGTTTAATGCACTAATGCACAATATCTTGATTTCTCTTGGGCTGATTACACTCTTGACTTTATACAGTGCTTCCTCAAAGAAAGTGCCTGCTTGGGATAACTTTCCAGGCCCCGGGGTTAGGTCTCTATCACTGTTACTATATGAATAGAAAATCAGTTTATAAAATGCACTACTTATATTTTGAGTTCTGTTGGGCTGATTATGCTCAAGACTCTGATTCCAGTGCTTTTATAAAAAAAAAACTTGCTTTCATTAGTGTTTGCTAAATGTATACCTAACCACAGTTTCTTTTAAATCTTCAATAAAAAATAATTATGGAGAATAGTCACGGCGGCATTTAATATATATATATAAATCTTATTACCGGTTAGCTTGTAATAATAATAATAATAATAATAATTCCAGGTTCTTATGTACCGCTTTATCACAAACTAGTTCGTAGGTCGTCTCAAAGCGGTTTATTATTATTATTATTATTATTATTATTATTATCCGTGGTTATAGTGCCCTTGCAACCAGCCAATACCTTTCATAACTCCCTGAGGAGCATACAGCTGTAGCTGCCATTTCGGCGCTAACAGCTAGCATTCAACAATTCTAGCATTGCCCAACCACGCACTCATTTACAGCTGAATAGACTAGAACAAGCGGAGTAAAGTATTTTGCTCAAAGATACAACACAGTGCCGTGCCGTGACTCGAACACGCAACCCTTCGGTCACGAGCTTGGCGTCCTACCATAAGACTACCGTGCCTTCATACATATCTGATAACTAACCAAATAAAGGGCTTTTTAGGTCACCTGAGCTTAAGCTCAAGTGACCTATTCCTATCCGTCTTCGTCCGTCGTCGTGCGTCGTCCGTCGTCCGTTAACATTTTACATTTTTAACTTAAGCTGAAATACTGTCAAAGGGATTTCATTGATACTTCGTGGGAATGTTACCGACAACTCCATGACCAAGTGTTGTTATTTTTCGGGTCGATCAGAAATCCAATATGGCCGCCACGGCAGCCATTTTGAAAAACTATTACAAACTTAATGTCAAGTTCAACTGGGCCTATTTAACTGAAACTTGGTAGGAATGATCGACTCATGGTCCTGACAATTTTTTATTTTTTTTGGGGTCGATCAGAAATCAAATATGGCCTCCAGTGCCGTCATTTTGAAAAACTATTTAAAACTTAAAGTAAAGTTCAACTTGGCCGATTTGACTGAAACTTGGTAGGAATGATCAACTTATGGTCCTGACAAACTGTTGTTATATTTTGGGTCGATCAGAAATCCAATATGGCCTCCAGGGCCGACCATTTTGAAAAACTATTTCAAACTTTAAGTCAAGTTCAACTGGGCCGATTTAACTGAAACTTGGTAGGAATGATCAACTTATGTTCCTGGCAAAGTGTTGTTATATTTTGGGTGGATAAGAAATCCAATATGGCCGCCACGACCGCCATTTTGAAAAACTATTTCAAACTTAAAGTCAAGTTCTTCTGCGCAAAACGAACCAAGTGCTCATTTGAATTTGAATTTTTTTTTGTTGTGATAAGGTTTAAGTCTGTTTACACCTCTAACACGTGTAGATATTGTTACGTTGAATATGATATACATGGTTTATATATACAAAAACGCCATTAACTATCTTGTCTTACCTATCAAACCAATCTTATTATCAATTTTCCATGCCACACGTCTGCATAATATCATTTGGAAACAAATCATGCGCCTGCACTCCTTTTCAATATTAATCAAATCAGCCATTCAAGTATCATGTATGTAATATTCCACTAAAAAATTAACTATCGAATTTTTCAAAATAAATAGTAATACACAGGGCAACAAAAGTCATTTGTTGCTAAAACAATTACATAGTCATAACTGTATAGAAGGCATAGGAAATAGCGTGATGGTTGGTTGTTATCTATTAGCTAGATCATATACACACGTGGAAACTAAACCGATCGAATTTTGAAAAACTATCGCTTGTCTTCGTTTATTTCGTAACTTCAAAACGAATGAATGTATCTGAACCAAAACTTAATTCCACGTACCAATAATGCTAACTAGATCCTGTGCCATTCTAGAAAACGAAAAGAATTTTTTAAAGTTTCATCGACGAAATATCTTACTTTATTCTAGGTGATATCACGTTCTTTATTTTCTCTATTTTATTTTCATTTTTTTGTTAAATATTTACACGTATTTGCAACAGTTAATGCCGTTTATAAAAAAAGTAATAAATGACGATACAATCCCAAGAGACACTAAAGAACATAAACAAAACCGTAGATATTTATTTTGCACGAGGAAAAGTATACTTTTCATGACGTTAAAAATGAACTTGCCAATAGTCTTTACTAACATGCATCTCTATAAACCCTGTGTCCTATATTTGTACTTCATCATGAAAATCGTGATATTCCGAGCAAGCCTGTGGAATTGCGATATGTGGGAACCAGGAATGTCACCGTCGCCTTGCTGTCCTGTGATTTCGTGGAAATCAAGGGTTTAAATGACAAATGCACACAATTTGGAAATATTGACATGTACATGTCGAGTTTTTCTGATGACTACGTCATTGAAAATCTTCAACTGTTGTTTAATTTACGTTAAAGGCAGAACAATTCAAACTCCCGCTTACCGTTGCAGTACCGTGTGGTACAATTTATTTTCAAAACACGAAATGGAATAAATAAAGGATTAATAGCTTTGATATACATATTTACCAGAATTAACCGTTACTGTGAACTACAACATTCGATAAAAGGAATAAAACATGCAGATCATAAAAACAAATATGGGTTTCATGTTTTTTTTAAAATTAGTATGTTTACATTAGAAGCTTACTATACAGGTAAATTAAGATATTGTTTTCATGAAATGGAGCTCTTCGTGTCAGGTTCGTGACCAGTCTGACGTAAACGTTTTTCCAAGAAAGTGTTTACAGGTGAGTTTAATGTGTTGCTGTATAACGGGAATTCCTTACCTGAAGTGTATATATATAGATATGTATCTTGTCAAGACCATACACACACAGGTAAGCAAGACATTCATGAGCAGTGAACGTGTGTATTATTAAGAGAAACTCTACAGCCGGTGATATACGAACACAGAACCATGCGTCTCCTCTACTTACTATTGACAGGCCTCGTAGTTCTCTACAGGATTGAAGCTCAAACTATGGTAATAAATTACGACTTTTGTATACGAACGTTTAGTACTGTAGTTCTCTTAGCAGAAAGAATCAATTTCGATGTAGAATACATAGAGATGTTGTTGAATAACACTGTTAGACTTCGATGTAGAATATAAAGAAATGTTGTTGAATAACACTGTTAGACTTCGATGTAGAATATATAGAAATGTTGTTGAATAACACTGTTAGACTTCGATGTAGAATATATAGAAATGTTATTGAATAACACTTGTTAGACTTCGATGTAGAATATATAGAAATGTTGTTGAATAACATCGTTAGACTTCGATGTAGAATATATAGAAACGTTGTTGAATAACACTGTTAGACTTCGATGTAGAATATATAGAAATGTTATTGAATAACACCGTTAGACAAATAGTAGAGTGATGTTTGCTGTTATGCATTTTTACAAAATATTTTCTTTGTGGATATGGTCGACTGTATGGATTAAAATAAAAATGTTAGCATTTATTTACTTGTATGAGTTTAACGCTATAGAAAGTATACATTGAAAGTACGTTCAAAACACTGTTTCGGTAATACGTTATTTCCGTTCCTTGTTATTTATGTAACCATAATTTTCCCAAACATATAACAGAGAATCGTTAACCTATTAAAATCTGCATATTAAGCTTTGATATATCGTGTTTCTGGAAACATGCTTTTTAAAAAACTACAACAATACAACGTAAATGAATGGACTACATAGGAAAATTTCACGGAATACATTATGTCTATATACGCACACACGAATACATCCATTCATACTTGTTTACGCTGTCAGTAACATTTATATGCAACCGACTGACGTCATGTCTGTATACAGATCTAGTAGTCTGGCGGTAAAAAAAATATCGACCGTCTGTTGACAGCATGTGTCTAATGGATTAGTTTGGACGTAAAAGTTGCTAAAAACTGGTAGGAATAGGTTATCACATACAAACATAGTCATTGTAAATTATGTATCAGAATGTTAACACAGTATACTGTTTGAAGTATTGATTAGTTGATAACTTAATTGTTATACAATTACAGGTTTCTCTGCAGTTGTCATATCATTGTTAACTCAATACTCAAGAATCCGTTCTCAGGTTACGTTTTTTTTCTGGCCAAAGGCTTCCTGTTCATAAATTTGCTTTTTTTCAATTTACGTGAACATTTTAACAACACATGATTTACACCTGTTCACTATTTCATAGTTTTTAAACACTTTCAGACGACAAATAAAATGATATTCACTAAAACAGAATTCACTTGTCCGGCCTGATGACGGCCCACCTTCTCATTATTGTTGACTTAAAACGTTCATTTAATGTGTAGTAAGCACCGCTCTATGATAATTGTAAGATCATCGATGTTAATAGGTTGATACTGACATTTTTACCCAAATATTTAGTTTAAGTATTAAGTTATTATATGTATGAATGAACTGTCCATCAATTTGTATACGTTATTAGTTATTGAAATATTAGCATATCCATATTGTATAAGCTTCTCAATATTCACCTGTCCTGAAATTATAATTCTGATTTAACATATGCAATTACTCATACTCATTTGTAACCTATATCGTACATATTTAATTACTAGCTGTTCTTTCAGACTCCGAGAATCTACTATCTTCACATCAAGTCCGATATCAGATATAGATTTGCTACGACAGTCGTCACAAGTAAGGTTGTGAACCCTGACCTTAAGTCACATGAATCAACATTTGACGTCACACTTCCCAACGAGGCATTCATCTCTAACTTCACCTTGTAAGTGTTAGCATAGATAGTGTAGTTTATATGACAGACACTGTCTGAGCAAAACATAACCATTTAACAACGAAGATTAACAAATAGATTACTGTTTAAGACGTAATAATACAATTCAATATTGCTAAAATGATCTTTTATCATTATATAGCACTATTTAACAGTCGTGTTATCAAGAAGTCAGGCAATGGCGAATAATACTTTTTCTGTACATAGCGCAAAATTAACACATCACCAATTCATTTCGTTATATGAGTATATATATTCATATATTTGAAACATACAATCACTGTTTTGGCGAGACAGGAATAAAGAGTATGGTTTGATTTCGAGATTTTACAAAAGATAACATCGCTTTATCCTGTAAGGCTAAGAGTAACTGAAGTATTTGAAAATTGTTTTGAAACTGACAACAAATCGAAATAAAGAGTAACATTGACTCTTTAATGGAGCATATGATCTAAACTTTTTGTTCGTTTTATTTGTAAAAAGAACTGTAGGAACCGAGACGTATGTCGGTAACGTCACGACAAAGGAGACGGCCCGAAAGGTGTATGAAAAAGACAAGAGCCTAGGCAAATCTGCGGCGCACATCTCTGTCAAGTAAGTAAAGACGGTTTATACATTGATTGTTGTGCAAGTATGTTAAATATTTTAACTATATATTTACATGGCGGGTGTCTGCGATGAAGCATGATACATTTACCCTTCCAGAACACCTGGTTATATTTTCGTCGTCTTTTCACAAAGGTGTCCATATAAATATTTCCTTTGTTGACACTTCAGTATTTCCTTGATTATTTTCATCATTGATAGAATGTAACAGTTAGTCTGGTGAATAGTGCTTGTGTGGGAATTATTTATAGAATAAAAATGAGCAAGAACATAAAACAAAAACTGTCTTCACCAGGACAACTGAATTAATGCCGTTCTCATAATTATCCCATTTATCTTTAAACGCAGTACAAGATTAACAATTATTCCCACCGATTAACATAAAACGTAAAAGTAGCTATTGCTACTTCAAAAATCCACATATTGTTTTAAAACTACTTTTGTTATGCATTCCACAGACCAAGGGAAACAAATACGTTTAATATTCAAGTGAACGTTGCTGCAGAACAAAAAATAACGTTTGAGCTACGTTACCAGGAATTGTTACAACGGAAATTGGGTTCCTATAATCAGGTGATCTATGTGAAGCCTGGAGAACCTGTAGCGGACCTAAGAATTGAGGTGGACATCGAAGAATCAAGAAACATAACTAAGCTGAGAGTTCCACCAATCAAAAGTGACCTGTTCACAATCAAAGATCAGAAAGGTAACATCATTTCAAATGTTAATTTTCGTGCATAATGAAACTTCATAATAATACAAGCCTATACTATATACAGTGAAACCTTTTGATGAAACCACCCCATTAAGAGATCCCCTTCCGTTAAGAGACACATTTTTAGATTTCTCGTTTTCGTTACTTCATTGTGAATTGAACCTGGTTGTTGACTAGACTATTGAAATGGAAAGACTACCTTTGTTTTGATATAAGTCTGACAGTATTTTTGAATTCAGTCAGGAGGAAATAAGTCATTTGATAACACTTCTTCTGCACAGTGGAACAGAGTTAATGTCACCGTCTTTCAATTAAAGTCCATTCCATTATTAGGTAAAGATGTTCGGAATTCCATAATGGTCATCCCTTTCATAGATAAAAATGAAAATAAAAATACAAGAAAAAAACTGCATCTTACACCAGATGTGGCTGCACCTATAATATTATCTGATAAATCTTCTAGTTAGATGTGACAGACAGGGTAAGATTTACCTATGTTTATATTTGTTGTTTTTCTTACATAGATGCCGATGAAGCCATTAACATAACACGTCCGTCTGGCGAGCGTGCACATATCTTATTTACACCAACCCTCAATACACAGACAGCGCAAGGCGGTCCGAATGGTCTGGATTGTCAGTTCAAAGTCAAATATGACGTGGATAGGAAAACCGACGGTGGCGACATCCTGGTGAGTAATCTTGCGAAATCCAATTCGACAGCGAATCAAATTCACACGCTGCTTTTACAACGTTGCGTTGTCAAGCGTTGTAAAACTACTTATAGACATTTACAAAAAATGCAGAAAATCAGAAATAACACAGAAGCCTTATGGTACAACATATATAAGAATTTAAACATACCCTTTGCAGGTTCTAGATGCTTCACCATTTTTTGTCAATTTGAGAGTTAAATGCAATTAAGTTGGTTTGGTATAGTTAGCCATAATTAGTCTTTTCCTAGAAATACACTATACTTCATACATACAAATTATTCTATTTTAAGAAGACATCCAGTAATTCTTCTCATTCGTTTTGCATGACATTTTAACAGATGGTGGATGGATATTTCGTTCACTTTTTTGCTCCGAGTGGAATTGAACCAAAGCCAAAGGATGTTGTTTTCATTCTGGATAAAAGTGGATCTATGCGCGGGAGAAAGATGGCCCAGTTGAAGCAAGCTATGTCCACCATTTTGTCCCATATACCAACCGAGGACAGAGTAAATATATTAACATTTAGTTCAGGTATTCACCGATGGGGGAATTTTGAAAAATTTCTTCCTGCAACTCCTGCCAATATCAAACGGGCAACAACTTATGTCAACCATGTGTCTGCAGGCGGAGGTAAATACAATTCAAAATTTCTAAAACACTGAATTCAATTAAGAAAAAATACTGATAATATTATATTTTATCGATCAAATGTAAATAACCTGCTGACAACATTGTTTCGAGAATTCTTTATAATGGGCTTTGTTCAGGATGCAATGTACGTTCATAGCGTATTCTGCTCAACCGAATCAACTGCATATTACACCAAAATTGTCCTGTTCAAATATATCAGCTTCTATTTTTAAAGTAGATCAATTTTCATTTTTTTTTATAAACATTTAAATCTGTTTAAATCAATGTCGTTATAATGTATCAATGATTGCCAGGGTTTTCTATGCTTTGAATCAATTCTTTTAAATGGTGATTCTCCAGGTACAAACATTGAGGGTGCTATAAGAAGAGGGGTTGCCTTACTAGACGAACGGACAGACAAGACAAGAGCACCAGTTCTTATATTTCTTACTGATGGGGAGCCTACGGTAGGCCAGAGAAATCCAGCGATGATACTGAAGAATGTGATTAAATTCAACGAAGACAAAATTCCCATTTTCGCTCTTGCATTTGGTAGAGGTGCCGATTATAGTTTCATTAAAAAATTGGCTGCTCAAAATAATGGATTTGGACGGAAGATCTACGAAGACTCTGATGCCGCCATTCAAATCTCAGACTTTTACTCGGAAATTTCAGCTGTTCTTTTGCAAGACGTCACTTTTAAATACCTGCCGGGTTCTGTAGATGAAACAACCTTGACAAAAACGATCGTTCCTAACCTTTTTGAAGGGTCTGAAATTGTGGTATGTGGAAGGATAGCAAATGAAGTGACGTATGATATAAGGCCGAACGCCATTGCTACCGGTTTAAACGGGCCGGTCAGTCTTGAAGTTCCAACAAACGGTGAAGTGCAACTCAACTTTACCCGAAATACGGACATTTACGCTGTCACAGAAAAGATATGGGCTTATCTTACCATTAAGCAATGGTTGCAGCAGATGGACGCTTCAACAAATGAGATTGAACAACAAGAATTGAAAAAGAATGTTACAACAATGGCGTTGAAGGTACTAAAACTGAAGTATTTATTCCTTTCTATCCATCTTGCAAATTGCACATTCACTTTTCTTTTATAGCATTTTCCAAACACATATCTATTGCATCCTTAAACATTTTGTTGGAGGATCTCTTGTTAAATATTAATTGTCAGTAATGCTCTTATCTGTAGTTCTCCGAATGCATATTGGCCATTGGCATCAATTACAAAGTATATAAGTGTGTAATCATGTTGCAGTACAACTTTGTGACTCCATTTACATCAATGGTGGTATCCTTGCCTGACAAGTTACAATCGTCGCCTGTAGATCTTCTCCCAGACAGTCCTGGTAACGTTTCTTACAGATATTATCAAGTTATTATTTACGTCATTAATTCAATCGTCAGCTCTTCTTGAGATGTAAATTTAAGTAAAATTACGATATCTATTAGTCAAAGTACATGAAAATAATATTTGAAAAGTTCGAAGTATAGTTATGACTATTGTCTGGGTACAATTTAACAAAATACCGTTGTTTTAATATTATAGAATCAGTTCCAGCACCGTTTTCTAGTTCAAGTTTCCAAAGTCGTTCAGCCTCAACAGCTCGAGGAGCTCTTTTTGCGCCAACAATATTTCGAAAAGGTAAGTTTCAATGTGTTTGGTTGATAAGTTAGAAGGTTTAGTAGTTGGGGTAAATGTGAGCTAAATATCGTTTTATTTATTTCTGTTTCACAAGATTATGCTTTCAGCGGATTGTCATGCTGAAAAGATTTACTTTATTAGGTATTTAGTAAATTTCTTACTACTGCTACAGGGGTAAACCAGTTTAAATGGCAGCTCATTGGGATTTTTCAAGGAAATAAATAGTCGTGTTAGTTTATTGTTTCCTCAGTCGAAACAGAAGTAAAAAAGAGGGTCATTATCTGTGAGCACCTTATGATATGCAAATATGTTCTTACGGTATGTCAGTGCTTAAAGAAATGGTAATTATATGCATTTGTTAACACAAAATAAAACAAATTAGGGGACAACCCTACTGTATTTGGCGATGGCGTTTATCGTGATTATACTGTCGCATTTTTTTTACTGGCGACGTCAATTATTCTAATTCATAAAATCCACAAAATTAACAGAAACGACCATTGTAAGATATTTTGAGTGTTTTCACTCTGCAGTGGATTGGTGACGTCAGTAATATTCAGAGTGAAGCGATATTACGTTGACCTTTAAGGGTCATGCTATTGTTCGACAAGTCATGAATAATCAATTTCATGACGTGTCAGTGTCATTCGGGGTCAATGACGTCATCAACAATCGCAATCCGGACTTCATTTGCAAATTTAAAAAAATGCGGACTGTATATCGTGGTTATACTGTGGCAAATTATTTTGATTGATCAATCAAATGTCGTGTTTCCTCTCAAATGAATTAAACCCAACATGACCGATACAGGAAAAGGGCTTATTTATTTTAATACTATAATTTAGAAAATACCTTAAGAACATAATTTTCTTTAATTATAGTATGCCAATACTGTTTTTTCTTAAACGATGTCGACCGAGTTAAAAGGAACAGAACAATGAGTCTACATATAATTGTGAACTGATGGATGTATAGTCTTTGCATAATAATATAATTGATAAAAAGGAAATGTTCATTTGCATTAACACAAATTGAAGTTACATAGAATCAGTACTCACATTGATTATGTTTTGTAACATTTTAGTTGGCAGAAGAGCTCGTCCATCGAGATTTAACCAGAAAAAGATGGTAAGATCCCACCCAATCATGTCTGCTCAACTTGATGCCATGTCCAATGGAGCTTCTCTTGGTTCCATGCTAGCAGGTTCATCTGGTAGTATCGGTTTGCCGCAAATGCCTAATATAAACAGTAATCAAATAGCATCCGGAACCCTTGGGGTTACTGCGACATCGATGACTTTCCCTGGTACCATCTCACTTGGTCAAACCACAACACCAGCAAGCAGGAATAACATGAAATCGACCATACCAAGGCATGCAAGTAATTCCGGTAAGTTGTTGTTACGACGTGAACACTTTATGTTCTTTAGGTCGATTATCACTAAATAATATGAGATAGAAAAGAAAAGAAAATTAGATACTTGTATTAACCGGCGATTTTGCCACTACAGGTTCTAAGGAATAGGTGACATTTATTGTAAATATGTATACTAGTGCAAAATATGAACATTTATATATTAGAAGAGTCCATTATCGTAGTCATACTGTTTAAATGAAGACTGCTACTAAATGAGGGCTTATAATGTTTGTGTAATTAGTGGTTTTTTTTCTCTAACTGCCGAGAAATACATTTGTATTGGACTGTTCTTGGACAGCTACCTTTGATTTGATCATTTTTGTCTGTACACACAATCTTATAGACAACATTGCTGATATCATTTATGAAGAGGCATTTTAATTCTTGTCTCAAAATGGCTAAACTTGAAATGTTTATGTTACCGTTATCACTGCTATCGTTAATCACAGCATGCAACATATGTATATATCCTTCATGTAGATGAGAGTTACCTCCCCTATATAATATTTGTGGATATTTGTTTTAACTGGATTTCTTGCCAAAAAGTTTGTTTAGTTGAAAAAAAAAAAAACTTCCCCGGAAATCAGATTATTCGATTCTAGTCTGTTAGATATAAAGGCATACGTTGTTTCTATGACAACACTCACTTTACGTCATGCAAATTAATTTCAAAACATGTTTATTGTGTAATATATTCTTAATATGTATTCTTAACAAGCTTATCATTCATATTTGTATCCACGATTAATTGCTATACAATATCAATGTTTATCCATTCAAACTTAAGTATTCAGTTCGTTATACTTGTTTATAATTTAATATCACATATGCAAAACAGCTTACTCCATATTGACATTGTAGTAATATTAGTCTTTATTTTTGACAGGTTACACACTGGTTGATGTTAAGAATATCACACTCCCTTTGTGCTTGGAGAACCCCAGTCAGGCGGACGAAACCAAGCGATACACTCTATTTCGGGATTTAGACACGGGTAACTAGATTTACACTATCAATTAATAAGTAGCTGATATTTTCTAAAATCTGTTACAATTTAGACACTGTAGACGAAAGAACACAGTACTAGCAGTTCTACAACTTTATAAAACTTTCAATATTGCCATTGAAAATTTACAAAATGTGATCGTCCAGCAGTTACCATTTGTCACAACAGCTGACAACCCTAGTTATAAGAACTTATATTTTGTTTTCATAGTTCCGATAATAATTATAACACAATACAATTATTAGAAAAGTATTTTAAATGAGGATGAAGTGGAAACAGTCCAATGTTGTAATGCATTTTTAAGCATCAGAACACTATTGCCTAGGTCCATATTTTGTAAATCGCCAACAGAACATCGATACACACGCATGCACATATTGCTGTTTAATTTATAGTTTCAGTCTGATTAAAATGTACGGTATACCCTTAACGAGAAAGGTATACGATATATGAAATTATAACTTGTTATTATGATTTTGTGTTCAATTAAGATTCTTTACTTGCAGGTACTGTTGTAAGCGTTGGGTTCACCCACTCCCTGAATGGACCAACACGTATCACTTACCTGAAAATTGATGCCCAGACCGTGACTGAATTATTCCCTACACACTTGGTTGAGAATCGAGTGATACGAGATTGGATTTCCAACACATTTTACACTAACGTGCATGGAAGTGAACGGTCAGGGGTCAAACTCGAGGTGACGTCACTTAACACCAACAGACTCATCGTTGACTTTGATTATACGGAAAATGCATCACAAAACATCGACGGATCGTTAGGTGAGTGATAAATAACTAGTCTTGTTCCTTTTGGATGTACTCATATCGAGTACAGCTTTTGAATATCAAAAAAGTTTCCTTTCATTATATATTTTGAAGTTCATAGTGCTGAACTGTCCCGGAATGGATGATATGTAATTCTATTTAATAAACTGAAGTAGCAACAATAGCAACAATAGCAACAACCAAACAAAATAGTTAACATCAACTACATTAAAGACTGAGCGTGGTTATATAGTCAACTGATTATAGGAAACGTATTATTTCATCAAATGTCTGAGCTATCCAGTGATAGATTAAATGGAGCGTTGTTTATACTGAACCGTTGATCTTCCATTGATTTATCTTAATTCAGAAATGTTATGTTGACATGCGTTCTGAATGTACTGTCGTGCAATTCACTGAAATATATAATTATAGAAATTAGAAAGGAATAATATCATTTTGATGATGTTATTGTGACATAATACAATAAGTATATAAATGCAATATCGGAGTGAGAAAAATGATTGATTTTGTTTATATAGTTTATAATGAGATTAACGATAACCCATTATGGACAACATGTTCTCGCTTATTTCTTGTAAAATCCAATGCTTCACAATAATAAATTAAATCCGAGCTTATTATTTAGCTGCATTATTGATCGATTTGATTGTCTTTTTTGATACATTGTTTTACTATTTAAACTTGGACACATTTTAGCTGTCAATGAACACAATACATTCACAAATAAATTAGTTTGACGATTTAATTGCAATTGTAACTGCATTTCTAAATTTTTGAATAGACATCATATCTTAAACTTATTACACTTTGTATTTTGCAGCTCTTCCAATAAGCGGTGAAATTAATGACATCCCGAATCTTCATAGATTTCCAAATATTCAAATGAAGGAACTTTCTCTGTTGGCAAAGAAGATGGGAAGCTTACGTCAGATGAAAATACCAGTGGAATTAAGTAGCGTAATGAACTGTTGGATTGTTAGATCTACTCTCCCATGGAGTTTGCAGGGAACTGTTTGATAGGATTGCTCACACTGTGTTTAGTGCTTGTCATAATGGTTCATTTTAGAAAATTCCTTAGCACAGTATTGTAATAAGCAACTTATGCAAACGATTTATGCTATGATCGACATCAGATCAAATAAAGTATCAAACAAAACAATCTTATTACGTTTTTACAAAACTAAATATCCTAGTCTGATGTTTTGAATGACTAAGATTACACATATATGTATAACTCTATCTAGTATTAAGATTAACATTATCTTAAAAGCATCAAAAGAATACATCGCTTAACTTTAAATGTAATAAACAAAAAATCCTCCACGTGAAAGATGTAATGATTGAAATAACACCGTGAACTAAACTGCGAAAGTATTAAAGATAAAATGATAGACGGTTACGTATTTTTATAATCACAATTTTATCGTTGATACATCACAGTTAATCATAATTCACATCCTATTGTTTCAACATAATAGTAATGTGAAACGATTTTAAATGAAAGATAATAATGTTTTGAGAACTGCAATATTGCACAATGTGTACTAAGTAAAAGAGATAGGAGAAGCTTTTTGAGAGTACTAGGATAGATGGATAATGTGTATTGTTGGTCTAATGACAAACGATGACGGTGTGAGATGAAGTTAATCCTTATCTTCGTCTTCTTGCAAAAGAGAGGAAGTTAAATTTATTTATAAATTGCAGTTGTATAGATTCATCAGCATGTCAGGCAAACGGAAATTTCATGATAATTTCTACCAGAAAGTTTTTGTCGTGCATACCTTAAATGCCAAATGATGAATTCATTTAATTGTTTTATTGCATTTGTCTTCGTACAGAATTATGTCAAATGAATGGTTAGCGTTAGATTGGTAAATGGTTATCATTGTATTACATATGATATGATTGCAAATTAAAGAGCTATATAATTTAACAATCGCCTTCCGTTTTTATCAGGTCTAAGTAAACAATGGGTGTCTTGTTTTTTTATTGTAACTGGAGCAACACAAACTATTCCCCTTACACTATTGTACATGGATGTTATACAATGTTGAATAGTTCACAATGTATACGATCCTGTTCGCCATGTTACATTTTATGTAAGGAAATGTTTCACATCGTAATTTACAAATTATATATCTTGTCACTGGTTTTGATATAGTATCTGGTCACTCATTTACATATAAAGTAAAATAAGTTCTTATGCATTCAAGAGCAAAATTCCAATAAATATTTATATATCTATATATCATAGCTCCTTTGTGAAGTTGAATACTTTTAAAGTGATATCAGCACCGAGTGATCTAGATGTTTATAGCTACAGATGCAAGTGATTGATTGTCTGTTGATGGGTAGTTGTCAGTTGGAAAGAGTGGTGAGAATGATATGTCAGCATCATATTTATGTATCGGAAGTATGTCCTGAATGAGTTGTTAATATTTTTAATAAAAACATAAAATCCTTTAATGCTGTTTTATTATATTTATTTTCTGATAATTGTCAAAAGTAATAGTAACTAGGTGCCGATTTATCCCAGACTAATGATGTTGTTCAACTTATCCCTTACCATATAAGTTATTAAATATAGCGACTGATTTATTTACTGATATTAATGTAATATAAATTCGTTATCGATTTATCAAATACTATGTAAAATAACTTGATGACTGACTTAACTTATTAAATACTATCGTTGCTTAATACCCTAATGACTGACTTATTTAACACTATCAGTGTAAAATAATACTTGATGACTTATGCAATACTGCCAATGTAAAATAACTCGACTGAATTATACCCTTATTCCAATACTACCAATGTAAAATAACTCAACTGAATTATCCTATTATTCCAATACTACCAATGTAAAATAACTCAACTGAATTATCCTCTTATTCCAATACTACCAATGTAAAATAATTCGACTGAATTATCCCTTATTCCAATACTATCAATGTAAAATAACTCGACTGAATTATCCCCTTATTCCAATACTACCAATGTAAAATAACTTGACTGAATTATCCCCTTATTCCAATACTACCAATGTATTATAACTCGACTGAATTATCCCCTTATTCCAATACTACCAATGTAAAATAACTCGACTGAATTATCCCCTTGTTCCAATACTATCAATGTAAAATAACTTGATGACTTAATTATCCCTAACTTTCAATACTATCAATGTAAAAAAATGGCTACTTAGCAAATACAGTCAATGTAAAATAACTAGATGACTGACTTATTCAATGCTATCGATGTTGAAATAAATTAATCACTTACTAATCTAATCTTATCAATGTTAAATAACTTAATGACAGCCTGATCCAACACTATCAACCTAATGTAAAATAAATGACTGACTAATCCTTTATTTGCTACATGTTTACGTAAATCAATATTATTACTTAATTGTCCAATAATATCAATGTAAAATAAATTGATGAGCGACTTATCAAACCTATCAATGTACTGTAAGCAGATATTTTCGTTGGGGTTAAATTTCGTTCGTTTTTGTTTTGGGACAAATTCGGTGTGATTATATTTCGTGGAATCAATTTTTTAAAATCTGTATCTTTTTTGGTTTGACACCTGGGCAATAAAACAATTGGTCCGGCTAACCGTAGCCTACATCGCCCGAGGTGATTCCACACCTCGCTTTACCCTAGTCAGTGGAAAACAATAGATCGACCAACGCTCGATGCTGAAATGATTTAGTCTAAACACACATGTGTTGTAGTTTATAACTATCTAAAATGGAAATAATTAGGCCTATCGACAGTTTATAATACACATTCTGATAAGAAAACGAACATGCATTTCATAAATATTCACGGTTACCTTGACACATAATTTGCGAGGTACAGGTAAGAACGGGCGATATAAACTCACTCGATGGGTATCAGTCGAATCCGGTATGCTCTATAATTTACATACAAAGAGCGATGTAACTGTGTTACAAATATAACGCTTAATTGACACGCTATTGTTAAAAGTGTTTACCTCTGTGCCTGTGACGATAATTATACCGTTTATCAAGACTTGTGTCTAAATGTAATTACATAGTTTTAAAATGATTAAATGAATAGTTTATTTAATATTTTCGTTTAGTTTATATTTCGTGTGCTTAAAATTTCTTTGGGATCATATTTCGTGGTTTTTATAAACCAACGAAATAAACGAAATTAAATCCCCAACGAAATATAATGCTTTTACAGTATTATATTTACATTTGCATGGCATTGTCACTATATAACCTCTTTGAAAGCTGTGTCGTTGATAGGACTTTAATTACCATGCATCACGAAACACAATTCTTAGCGTATTAATACAACACTGACCGGAACTACAACATCCAATATAAATAAACATGACGGCTGCTGAAATATCGCTGGGCATTGTGAGATTTGACAATGTCATTGTAAATTTATGTGCAAAATAAAAAATAAAAAAATAAAATAAAAAACACTTTTATTACAACGAAAAGAAGACCAAGGTCTGCAATATCGTACAAAATGCACATCGGTTGAAATCACCAATGCCGGCAATGGAAACGATTTTAACGCTCATGCAATTTATCAGAAATATCGTCTGTTACACTGCACTGATCAACAGGGGTTCGTTACAAATGTCTGAAATACACATATTCACATATTCTATTACACATAGACCAACTGATATGAGTCACAGCACACATAAACATTTCAGACATTTGTAACGAACCTGTGCTCCGTCGCAAGATCACTCACTTCAAACGCTATCAGTTCCACGCGTCTCGCATCCACGGACGGTTCCTCAGTTTCTGACGACATGTCAAATAACGAGTATGTTATAGAATCTACCGACTGTTGTCAGGTTCCCATACAATCAACAAATAAATTCACGCCTGGATTCTTCACAAAATGAGTAAAGAGAAAAGTTCGAATTAACTTCCAAAAATAACGCCCTCGTGGAGGGCAAGGTCGGATTTACGGTGTTCACTGTTTTTGTCCATCCGCGAAATTTGTTCCGGGGAAAAATCGAACCATTTTCAAATCTAACTTTAAGCTCAGAGTTCTATTGATAAACTTAAATCAGCCTATAGACATATCATACGCAATTGTATTGATACTGAATTGTGGAATAAAATTGAAGTGTTTGTTAAAATTTCAAAGTACTACTTTGTTTGCCAATCAGCACGCGACAATACACTGTTCAAACTATTGAACGAAATTGTGTGGACTGTCGATAAGGCTGGCATTTTTAATTTTAAATATAAATTATAAGTTAAAAAAGAACATAAGAGGCAGAGAAAACGTAAATATAAGTATTGAACTGTTTTTGTTTGGTATTTATGATCTTTTTAATAGATCATAAATACCATACAAAAACAGTTCAATGCTTAAATATATTGATGTCTGACTTATCCCCTGTTGTTTTTTACGTAAATGAACTTGAAGACTGACTTATCTCCTACTTCCGAAGTAAAAAAAATCTATGACTGTTTTATCTATCGCTATCGATGTTAAACAAATTAATGACAGAGTTATCTTATATTATCAATGCATAAAACCTTGATGACTTACATATACTTAACCAATACTTTCAATGTAAAATAGGTTGATGACTGACTTATCCAATACTTTCAATGTAAAATAACTTAATGACTGACTTATCTAATTCTGTCAAGGCAAATTGAATATGTTGACTTTCCTTTCACTACTTTCATGATATCAATACATCAATGGTATTGCAAAGTGAATCACGCAAAGGGAAATTTCTCTACTAAACGTAATAATTTAGCCACAATATTTTAATTGAATGAAAAACAAAACCCAAAAAAACAAGAAGGTGCCATACAATTCGATGTTGCCTTTTTAAATGTTTACAATTTAGTATTTTCAAATAATATCTTTAGAAGAATTGTTCACTGGAAAATATTTGAACATGCTCTATTCTATATTTATTTCTGAAGTATTAACACGAAAGGGACTATTTCCAGTTATGTTAAAATTACATAGGAACCTGCCCTCTCATAACTTTTGTTTCAGAATTGATACGAGATTTATGCTGCTGTTTTAACTCTTTCCAATCCTTTATACATCTGATTTTATTACTTTGAATCACTTTACTAATTATTTCGATGTTTAATCAACCTAATTACAGCATGGGGGTCGAAAAATGGAATATCAGTCTTGAAGTATTTTTTTGAAAAAAATGTATTTTTGCATCATAATACTTAGGAAAGAACATTTTTTATTATGTAGTGCTTTAATAATATATTTATCATCAAGAATACGAGATTAATCGAACATTTTGTGAAAATTGTAATGTAACATATAATGCTTTTCATTCTTATTATTCTTGTATACCAACAATTTACATAGTATGAAGCACGGGTGTTATTTCAAATGTATGTATGCAAAAATTCAGTACAAAAAAAAGTGATGGAAATTATTCATTTCGCACAACAAAGTACCTTGTGTACCCAAAAAGGTGAGGGCATAAGACACCTCCCTGGCGTTCATCAAAAAGCAATGCACCTGATTACAGGTAATTGGTAAAGAAATTCATTGCAAGCCTACAATAAACCTTTCAGTGCATATAAAGTCACAACAAATTCCAAATTATAATATGCTTCATCACTTGGCGTGATTGATAAAGTTTTTGTAACCAATCAATTTTAAGATCAAATGTAATATACTTGTCACTTTTTAGAATTTGTTCTTTAACATTTTATCATCAGACTTTCGTTTTAACATGGCTATTAGGGGATATTTCAAACTCATTTGTTAATATTAATCTCATAATGAAGGGTAAACGTATTGTATAAGGTCGCCATCGTTTCTTCGCAAAATCTCGTGAATGTAAATGTTCACAAAATATTAAAAAAAATCCTTAACATAATTGGCTTTTGGTTATACTGACTAAAAGTGGCATAGAGTACTCAAATGAAGAAGATAGTATTTGTCCGAAGTGCTACATAAAGTATCTGCGCAAAAAAAGAATCTGAATAAGAACGTTTTGAAGATGAAACTACTAGAAGCTTTCTTCTCTTAACAATCAAGGACCTGTTTTACGGGTCATGGTCACATACAAAATGTTGTCTTTGTTTTAACAATTTTAATTCGAATTCTCAATTATGAAGTGGGTCGTCTGAAACAATTGATGACATTTTAGAAGTGTTGTACATCTTACCAAAGATTCAATCAGTTTCACTCTCAATTTAAGTTTTTTGGATGACCCTGACTGCAAAGCTTAGACAGGTTGATCAAAACGTTTCTCAAAATCCTTTCATACTTTGTCACTTTTCTTTCTTCTTCAGTATTGACCAAAACTACACAAAATGCTCTTTTGCTGTTTTGAGTTATGATGAAAACTGATAACTCTTGAAATTATGTGATCTTTTTGTCATTTTCCTGCCTGGTATTTCAAAAACCTTTCATTCTGTAGTACAAGCATTGAATAAATCTATAGTTACAGTG